GGTCCGCGGGGCCCTGTCCAGCTCTCACAGCTGCTCGTGCTGCTAGAGCCTCCCCGGGGGACCCTCCGAGCCCTTCTCCCGGCCGTTCGGCGCGAGGTTTGACCTTCGCTTCCTTCCTCCACCCACACGCCCTCCGCTTTGTCCGGCGTCCTCCAGAGCGTTGGGATCGGCGCCTTCCAACCTCGCTTTCCCTTCCCGCACCCCAGCGAGCGAGCGCCGAGGTGGGGAAAGAAAATAAAACACGTTTGAGAGATAATTTCCCTGCAGCGATGTGTAAAACAACAAATACCAAAACGCTGCTGGAGAATGGAGTCTCAAAAACCCCGTGGAGATCAGATCGAATCGTCGGCTTCTTTCCCCCGGGGAGGTGTCTTCATTTTGAGGGGATCTAAACTTCCCCCTTGGAGTAAATTAGTGATGTGTGGTGGGGGTGATCCCTAAATTTCACGTTTCCCCACAATGGGAAGGGTTTAGGGGTCTCTGGAGTGAGGCTGTTGTTCTTTGAGGCTGGGATTTTGCTCAGTGCCCTCATGAGGGATGGGTTTTTGGCGCTTCCCAAAGCAGGGACTTTCCTACTCCTCGGTTATTTCTCTCTATTTTGTTTTTTTTTGAGCAGGACGATTTGGCGAGAAGAGCAAAGGAAGGTCTCAGCAGAGGAGGGTGAGGAAGAGGAAGGCTTTACTCAGCATTAGGCGAAGGCAGGGGTTGGGTTTTGCAGCTCCAGATGGCGTAGGGGAAGACAATGTAGGACGTCGACCAGGCGAGGCAATAGACGGAAGCCACCGGCGCCGGTGAGAAGAGGACGGCCACCACCCCTGCGGGTCGGGAAGAGCCTTTGGGATCTGCTCCTTCCTCCTCCACCACCACCTCGGGGAGTTTCATCCCCATCCTTACCTCCAGCGTAAACAGCTTTCTTCCAGAGCTGGGACTCCAGCACCTTGTCGTGGGGGTAGAAGCCCCGGTCGACCATGAAGAGGACCATGACGGCGGCGGTGACGCGCAGCAGGGTGACGTTCCCCGCCGACAGCAGGAAGGTGCTCACCAGCAGCGAGGACGCGTAGGGACAGGGCAGCCCCCGGTAGGTGAAGGGGATCCCTGCTGGGTGCCAGACGTTCAGCCGTGGTGAAGGGAAAACCCTCCAAATCTCTCCCCAAACCCCCCTTCAAAACGCTCAGCTTACCACTGGGGAGGAAGCAGAGGCGAGCGAATACGGCCATGACGTAGGCGATGGCCAACAGCCCGTCCAGGACGCCCCGAGGCTGCAGCAGCAGGGCCGTGGCCAGCCCAAAAGTGGTAAAATCGGCGAAATCATCCAGTTTGGCACCTGCGGGCAGCGAGCGGGCAGCTGCCAGGCGGGTACGGAGCCGGGGAGAGGGCAGAAACCCAGCGGGGGCTGTGGGGGAGGAGGGATGGACTCACCCAGCGCCGAGCAGGCGTTGAGCCGGCGGGCGACGGCTCCGTCGGCCAAATCG